TTGGGGCCCCTCCCTTCCCCAGCGCCCTGGAGAACGGAAGACTCCCCCTGCGGTCACTGAGGGATTCTGAAGATTTTGCTGCTGCAATAATGGCGGACAAACGCCTCCTTTACATGTTTCTCCCTTTAGGTGACTTCAACCCTATGGGAAAAGCGAAGTCAATCAACGACCTAAGGCCTTCTCCATCAGGGACGGTGGCGCACCCCGCTGTGGCTCAGAGGCGTCTCTGGGCTCATGGTGTGGGTGGCCTGTGGGGTGGACAATCAGGAGCGGGAAAGTCAGGATCCGACCCTTTCCTTCTCTTTTCCATCGCAGCCCAGGGCCACACGGGGCAGATGGCGGGGCAATGGCGGGGGTCGGGAGGGCAGAATCTTGGAGGCTAATTCCTGTAGCAGACAGCTAGGAGACTGTTCATAGAAGGCAATGTCAAGCCATGGAGTTTTAGGTTTATAACGGCCCAGCTTAGCTGTTGGGTCACTTAAAGAAGGAAGGGGGAAAAAAGGACAACCCCCCCCACCCCAAGTCCCAGGGCACTTGTCCTTCCCTCCCAGGCCCTGCTTGCCAAGAAGAGAAACAGCACTGCTTGGGTGAGGAAGCCATGCGCCACCAGTTCCACTCGCTGCCACTGCGCCCCGAAGATGCTTCTGCTTAACACAAACACGGCACATTCTGTGCCGAATAATGGAACGGCTTCTGTCCAGCTACCTTCCACAGCACGCCACTTCCAAGAATGGCTGGGAAATGCTACATGTGATTAGCAAGAATCTAAGAAAAGAATCCTGGGGCCCTGGATTCCTGAGAAGACCAAGCAGTTAACATGCAGCTCTAGCCAAGAGGCTGGTGGAGGTTCAAGTATACCGGGAGGCACCTTGAAAGAAAGATCAGGGAGCTGTCTCTGAAAAAACACAATCAGCTACTGAAAACCGAGGGGCACAGTCCGACCCTGCTGCACACGGGGTCACCGTGGGTTGAACTGACTCAGCAGTAACTGGTAAGGGTGAGAAACGAACTCGAGGAAGCAGTTCATGAAAGGCCAAAATCCCAGAAACGCTTTGCCAGAGCAGACAACGGGAGCCCACATCTACCTCCTGCAATACGGCAGGGCAATCCTTCCACCAGCCAGGCCCTGAAAGCAACTAATCTTGCTGAAGTAGAACTAAATCAAAGGGATGACAAGAAAATAAGATTCGCCTGGGAGACGATAATGAAGCGACACTAAGCGCCCTCTAGAGGGGCAGGCAGAGCACCGCTGCCCTCTCTCCTTCGGGACGTGGAGGGCGCTGAAGGGCTGCTCTGCGCAGTCTCAGGCCTCACAGGGGGCGGGGCCAGCAGACAAACGCTCGCTGCTCAGGTCAGCAGGCTAATGGCAGCTCTGCCGCAAATAAAGGCACGAGGACGCCAAGAGGCCGGCTGTTTAGCGTGAGGGTCAACCGGAAATGAGCCCAGCCCACATCCGTCTGACCAGGTGGGCACACGTGGCGTGGACAGAGCCAGGTAACGAATGCATTAGGCTTTGTGTCAGTTTCGATCACTCAACTCTGCCCAAGAGCGGAAAACAGCACAGACGACACTCACAGAAATGAGACACAGGCCACGTGCCGACCCCTGTTCAACCACAGGACAAGTCCCCATCTGAAGCTTAAGAACAAACTGGTGAAGGATTAAAATAAAATGTTTCCCGTGAAAATCGATAAGCACAAATTGGCCCAAACCCACTCCCAGCAAAGAAACCGGCTCCAGGCTGCTGATGCCACAGCATCGAGGGATGGAGGGCAGGAGAGAAAGTCGTTTGGTCACAAATGACTGAGCTGAAGGAAATCTGAAGACGGCCTTTGCTCTTGTGAAGAAAGATGCGCTGTACGGCCAGGAGCCCTTGAAGCAGCAGTGCACCCAAGCAGAGAGGGGTGTCACACGCCAGCTCCTTCCCCAGGGACTACACCAGCCTCTCAGCACCACGCTGGCGGAGCTTGGAACTGCATCTGTAAACACTGTTTTCATGTTGCTTTAAGTTTTATGAGCTCCTCTGTATATGACTTGGTAGGCTAATCTTTGGGTCTGGAAATGCTAAAAAAATTTCCCATATAAATTCATGGTAATTGCTTCTCACTTCATACCATTTCCGTTTACAAAGGCTGCCATCAGGATGTTGTGCTTTCAGAGACCATGGGAAACTTAAGCATCCCATTAATAGGAGGCACCATTAATCAATCAATCATAAAGTTCACTGAGAAATAAAGAGCCATGCATAGAGACAAGAAAAATAATAGGTACTAAGACCAGACAGGTAAAGCTTTCAGAAACTGAAATAATAAAACA